AAAGTAAATAAAACTGTGGATTCTAGGATAATGAATCAAAAAAGGCATGAAAATTAATTAAACAGGAAGTAAAAATATTGTTTCTGTACTTCACTGATGTTTAGTTACTCCATTGGACTCTGCTGATGTTTATTATACCACAAAACTGGAAGAAGGTAGGTGAGGAAATGGGTATACAGTCACATGTTAGAAGAAATACACAAAACTATACGATATTGTTATCTGATAAAAGTATACAAGCTAAGATACATGAATGTTGTTATGGTTTGAATAAAAAACATCATCCTAAAAAACTGATGTCTTGAAAACATGATACCAAAGCAGAGAGGTTCAGAAGGCTTTTTAGATAGTGATTAGGGCTGCAATGTTATCAGTAGATTAATCCATTTGATAGATGAATAATTTTAGCTGACTCGTAGGTAGTAACTGTTGGCAGGAGGACATAATAGGAGGAAGGATACAACTGAGGACATGCTCTTATACTACATTTTGCCCAGGGCTCCTTTCTTTCTCTGCCTCCTATTTCATTCTTTCCCTCAACATTTTATGAGGTAGAATTTATCAAGTTACTCTTCCTCAATAGACACCAGTCACCTCTTTATTTTAAAAAAGTGGGGGAGGGGGGGTTGGCAGATCATCTATGAGGTAGTTTACAGTGGACTCCAGTTTTCCTCAGTATATCTGTGGTGTTGCTGCCATCTAAACCTATCATGACTATTAGAGATATTTTAAATATCAAAATAATAATAATAAAAATGATAAGTCACTTCAACTTTGCACAAAAGAACTACATGGTAACTCCTGGTAATATGGCCTAAATGGACAATGACCACTGGTATCAGCTGAAAATGTGAGTTGTGAAAATTCAGATGCATTTTTAACCAAAGTCTCTTTAACTGATTTTCATTTCTGCATTTAGACTTACAATCACATCACTCAAGTGGTTTTAAGACTACTAGACCTCAGATGAATAAAAATTAAAACTATATAACTCTAACTTATCCAATGAAATAATCAAATGAAAATGATTCATGATGTTAATTTCAGACATTTGTGAAGATATATAACAACTACAGCTTTTAGTGACAGTAGGAGTCATAATAGTTTCAACTGGAAAATTAGTTGGCAGTGTCTTTTATAACTGAACATACACATACCTTATTACCCCAAAATGCTCTTCCTTATTTTACACCCAATAGATTGAATGCATGATGCACAATCACACTTGTGCAAAAATGATCACAGTAGAAGTGTTTGCAATTTGATTAATAATGGATGGTGTGTTTATTTGTTAAGATGCTGCTGCACATTGAAAACAAATAAACTATCACCACATACAAAAGAATAGAGTAATTTAACATAAAAAGAATAAAAGAATCCTGCCATTTAGGAATACAAACGGAATTATTTCACTTTTATAGGGCTTTTAAAACATCCAAAATGAAGCTAGTATTTTGAATAGCAATTTATGGATAGGACCTGGAGATACTGTCTGAAATGCTGATTCTGCTCTGTTGTCTAGGTCTTGGTACATGACCATTTCCATTTCCATTTCTGAAGTTACTCTTGATGCTGTTTATTTTTGAGCCACTCTCTATTAATACACAAATTCTTTGTGACATAATTTGGATTAACGGTTTTTCAGCAACATATTAGTATATTACTGGTTCTCCTGTATTGATGGGAAGTAGAAGTAGGACCACAGAGCCTGGAGGGTCTGCCATGTTCATGAAGCTAAAGGTTGCATTCTTCCCAGACTCTACACTGAGGAAAGTGAGCCATCACTGCAGATAGGGAAGAACTAGGAGTGAAAAAAATAATGAATTTGAAAAGAAATCAGAAAAACACATACCCTTGAATGTCTCCTCCAAATGTACACCAGAGAATTAATAAAGCTCTTGAGTAACACAAAATATTACATTCTTGAGCTAACCTGGTGGAAAATTACTGGCAATTATTTAGATTTGCTTTTTGTCTCAATAGTATCTCTCAGAGGAATACATTTGGTATTTTACTGTTGAAATCATCATTCAAAAAATGAAATATCAAGAGACATTAAAAATTATCACTAAGAATCACTTTTCCAAAGACTAAAATACTCAGATGTGACAGAACTTCACCTGATGAGTATTCTAGCTTTCTAGAAAGCAAAAGAAATGCTCCATATCAACAAACAAGACAAACAAAAATGACCACCACAAAACCTACAACCATTACTTCAAGTTGGGCTGTAGAGGGAAAGTGAAACTACTTAAAGCATTAGTATGCATAACCTGTTGCACTTCTTGTACCCCTTATTGTTTTGCAATTTTTCACATTCATCATACTTAGGACTTGTGGCAATTGCATGAACTACATTAAGATTTACATTATATAGTTAATATACATGGTCACTACACACTTTCTTAAAATCGTCAACCAAAGACATTTGAATATCACATAGTAAATTATGCTTGTGCTTCTTTCAGTAATCTAACATGAGAAATTTCTATGAATTCAGTGAAATAATGCCTACAATACTCTATAAGTTGACTTATCACTTATGAGTTTTAGACAACTTAGTGCCTAATATATATGACAATCTGTGGTGATAATTAAATAATGTAAAATGCCTGACTAGGTTGAGAAGTCTAAATTTTCTTTTGAAGGTGAAATCTAATTGTTCTTATAGGGTATTTCTTAGAATATGTGTTTAAAAATAACCTTTGCACATGATAAATTATATATGCATAATTTTACTTATGAGTAGATGTTTTATGATATGAAAATTAGATACAAGAAAAAATGGCCATTAATAGAAGAGATTAAATAAATTAATGTATGCAAATAGAAAGAAAAGCATAATATCACAATATTTATTTGTATGCAAAGTATGTTTATTCTGACATTATTTTTGTTGAAGATGAGAACCCCTGAGTATAGAAAACAAAACCTAATTATCACAAGACAGTGTGAAAACTGTTCATTTTTGCTCCCTTTGTAAAATTATTTCTTTATTAATTTTTTTTTAGGTACCAGGGACTAAACTCAGGGGCACTTGACCACTGAGATGCATACTCAACTCTATTTTGTATTTTATTTAGAGACAAGGTCTCACTGAGTTGCTTAGTGCCTTGCTTTTGTTGAGGCTGGCTTTAAACTCATGATCCTCCTGTCTCAGCCTTCCAAGCCACTGGGATTACAGGAGTGCGCCACCACACCCTGCATCAAACTATCTTTTGAATGTGTTTGATGAAGAGTATTTGTGCATGTGTGTCTATATAAGCATTTGAGATTCATTTGTTTTACATTTATGTCATTAAAACAAATAAACTGGCACACTGAGGTATGGAATGCTGGTTGACTGCAGTCACTTTAGTAATTCATGACATGATATTAGGAATTAAACTGGATAAAAAAGTAAGATATTTTAAAAAAAATAAATACAAGTTTGCATTTTTTCCCCGTTTACCTTACTTGTTTAAAATATCAGATGCTAAACTTATTCCCAAGGGATCAAGTGCTCAGCACCCAGGGGTCAAACACAGAGATGTTTAAAATCCCGGGCAATCTTAAGACAATGACTATTCTTGGGAAGGTATAGGTGCATCCAGTTACCAGGTCAATAGCTCTGAAATAGGTCCTAATTTATTTTTATTTTTTATTTTACTTTTGTTCTGACTTGTATATTGCTTTAGTTTTTTGAAATACTTTTGAAATAAAATTGTTATATAACAAAAGAATACTATGAAACTTGATGCAAACATTTACTTTAATTACTTTACTTATTTAGCATTTTAAATAATACAAAGATAGTAGAGAATACACTAAATGCTATCATGGTATAGAGGTACTGATATCATTTTGTCATTTAACCTCTTACCTACACTTTATGTATTTTAAAATCTTTTAATATTACAAAGAAAATCACTGCTTTTAGAGATCTTTAAATAGTGGTAAATATTTAAAAGAGCTTATGCTGAGATACAGAGACCTGCACATTGACCATTGTACTCCTGGTAAGGTTTCAACTTCTTCATTTTTCTTCATTTACCTTCAACTCCAC